ACAGTGAGCCGAGTTATCGTACTCGAGTGTAATGAGAGCGAGAAAGAGAGAGAGAGAGAGGGAGAGAGAGAGAGAGAGAGAGAGAGAGAGAGAGAGAGAGAGAGAGAGAGAGAGAGAGAGAGAGAGAGAGAGAGAGAGAGAGAGAGAGAGAGGAGGAGAGAGAGAGGGGGAGAGAGAGAGAGAGAGAGAGAGAGAGAGAGAGAGAGAGGGAGAGAGAGAGATAAGGATAAGTCCGATATGCGAAGCTGTGGACCTCGCCCGGGCTATGGGGGAGCCCGGCCTGTGCCGACGTATGTCGACTCGCTATCAGTGTGTCAGCAGGTGCTGACTCGGGTGAGCTTAATCCTTACCCACCGTGGTGCCCGGCCACAGCAGTAACCTCCAGGCGACAATTGCAACTTCTCGCGCCTGGGCGGGGCGCGAACCGCCGACCCCTCGGATGAGAGGCCGACACGTTACCACTGTACTAGCCCGGAGGCTTATAGAGAGAGAGAGAGAGAGAGAGAGAGAGAGAGAGAGAGAGAGAGAGAGAGAGAGAGAGGGGGGGGGGGGGGGGGGGGGGAGGAGAGAGAGAGAGAGAGAGAGAAGCAGACAGACAGATAGACAGACAGACAGATAGATAGACAGACAGACAGACAGACAGACAGACAGACAGAGACAGAGAGAGAGGCAGACAGACAGACAGATAGATAGACAGACAGAGATAGACAGACAGACAGAGACAGACAGACAGAGAGAGAGAGACAGAGACAGAGAGAGAGAGAGGGAGAGAGAAGACAAACAAACAATAAACGAAAATCAATAAGAACTCAGACGAAGAAGCCGAAGGGAAAGTCGATGGGGACATAAAAGAGAGAAAAATGATGATAGGTATATAGAGTAACACCGATAAGATAGCGCTGAGATAAGGCTTGGTACGCGCGCCCCCTCACGCCTCTCCCTCCACCCCCTCCCCCACCCTCCCTCTCACCCTCACCTCCCCTTCAGTCCCTCCCCTCCCTGCCCCTCAATCATTTATTCCCCCCCCCCTCTCCCTTGCTCTCCTCTTCCCCCTTCCCCGCCCACCCCACCTCTCCCCCTTCCTAACCCACTTCCCTTCTCATTCCCTTTCCCTCTCCCCCCCCCCTCCACCTCCCCTCTCATCGCCCCTCTCACCCTTTTCTTCCATTTTAACACCCTTCCCCTTCCTTCCCAGGTCCCTCTCACGCACTCCCCCTCACCCCTCCCTCTCAATCCCCTCCCCTCTCACCCCTCCCTCCCTCTCCCTCCCCTCTCACACCCTCCCCCTCACCCCTCCCTCACACTCCCCTCCCCTCTCACCCCCTCCCCTCCCCTCTCACCCCCTCCCCCTCACCCCTCCCTCTTACACTCTCCCCCCTCACCCCTCCCTCTCACTCCCCTCCTCTCTCACCCCCCTCCCCTCTCAACCCCTCGCTTTCATCCCCTCTCCTCTCACCCCCCCCCTTCCCCTCCCCTCTCACCTCTTCCTCTTCAAATGTCACACTCATGGCCCTTCCGTATATGACCGTCACTGTCATTGTAAGTCCTTCATCATCATCATCACTATTATTACCATTACTACTATCGCTATTTTCCCTCAACGTCATTATTTTCTCTTCATTCTTCGTTTGTTCCCTTCTCCATTCCTCTTTCCCATTTACGAGACTGTGTATGTGTTTGTGTGTATGCGTTTTATGTATGTGTGCATGTACGAGTATGTATGTATGTATGTGATTATTACATGCGTGTATGTGTGTGTGAATATAAATATAGATAAATAAATAAATAAGATATATGTGTATATGTATGTATGTATATATGTATGTATGTGTGCATGTATGTATGTATGTGTGTATAAATGCATATGGATGGATGTATATCTTTTCGGTTGCATAAAAAGTTTCCTCTGATCACTAAATCATTAAATTGATGTGATATCTGGCGGCCATGCACCTTATATCATCTATGAAAATACGTTGCAGTCATCACTGTCTGTCTGTCTGTCTATCTGTCTCTCTCTCTCTCTCTCTCTCTCTCTCTCTCTCTCTCTCTCTCTCTCTCTCTCTCTCTCTCTCTCTTCCCCGTCCTCCTCCTCCTCCTTCCCTTCAACCTCCCTCCTCTCCTCTCTCTCTCTCCCTTCCTCCCCTTCTCCAACCTCGCTCCCTTCCTCCCTCCTTCCCTCCTTCCCTCCTTCCCTACTAACCCCCCCCCCCCCCCGCTCCTCCTTCCGGCCGAGCCTTCCTCCCACGTGGGCCATCGAGCTCACTCTTACGACTTCCGGAAAATAAATGGTTTGTCTTTCTTTACCGGAACGCGTCTGACTCCCGCGCCCGACCAGGTGGAAGAGGGGGAGGGAGGGAGGGAGAGGAGGGGTGAGGGAGGGTAAGGGAGGGTGAGAGAGGGAGAGGGAGGGAAAGAGAGGGAGCGAGGGAGAGGATGGGAGAGGGAGAGGGAGGGAGGGAGGGAGAGGAAGGGAGAGAGGTAGAGGGAAGGAGAGGGA